GGACTTGGCACATGAGCTTCAGAAATGGCTCTGCAGACAGCAGTGAAGGAACAAGATGCTGCAGTTGAATTCCTGCTCCAGTAGCTGTCAGTACTCTGCCAGGAAACAGTGGTAAAACTGTAAGTGTGTGGATGGGATTGAATATAAACAAGGAGCTGATCTGTCTTGAAAGAAAGTGCTATATTCATCCAAGATCTGGCTGTGTCCAGTGCCCAGTAAGATAAATAGAAAAGGCTGTAATCAACTTCGTCTGGATAGATATGGTGATTAATAGACTGAACATATAATTACTTTCCAAAATCAAACTGTTTGTAGAAATACAAATGACTACAGAGGGAGATGCTGCAATAACACAGGCACCACATAACAATACCAAGTTCAGGATAAACACCCTGAAGTTTTAGAACATAAGAATAAAAATAAAGACAATAAAACTATTTCTTAGTTAATATTTCATTAATGCATATGATTGCCAGATGTATCAATGAATAAGTTTGCTTATAAAAATGTTGGAGGATAGTTGGTGGCTACAACTACTATTTTATAAGTGATGTGTATATGCCTGCACAATAATATTGAATGCCCAAGGGGAATTCCAAGCTTAATGTTTTTAAAAATTTGTCCTACAAGACAATTGAAATTTCTTCTGCATTTGCAGATGGCTGTACTAGCTCTGCCAAGAGCTGTTTGTGTGGCGTGGGCACATTACAGTCTATCACTTAGGGACAAGTGCTATAAATTTTCTGTAACCTTAAACACTTCAAAGGAAGCTTCCTGGTGATATTTTAAAGAATGAAAGGCAGTGAAAAGTTTTGTTTTGGCTTCAAAGACTGATGCCCTACTGCAAAATTTTCAGACCTAATTAGTGATACTAGCAGCTCCAGTCGTTTCAATAATGAACACTTCAGTCTTTAGTTTCTTTCATGTATCAAGCAGATCCATTTGTCACCATTTTTTTAAGGCTTTTTTGTTTCATTTTGAAAATGGCATTTGTCATCATTACTTTTCCTTAACTTCCTAAGAGAGTTCAAGTTAACTGTAATGGCTGCTACAACATAAATTGAAGCCACCCCTGCTTTTTGAATTCATACAGTATGTTACCAACAGCGTCTTAAAAGAACACAAAGTAAGTATCTGAAACTGTTTTCCATGTCTGAAATTAAATAAACCTGTCCTTAATACCTCAAAAATTTTTTTTAAAAAAAACCTACTTATATGTTAAAATTGATTCTGGTCTGCCTTTCGGGAATACAACACCATATGACTTCCATACCAACATACATATAAATAAAACTTATATGGAGAGCTGAGACACTCATCATATTGACAATCCAAAGTAAATAGTCTCTTAGCTGGAATGGCAATGAGCTGTTTTATCAACAGTATCAAATACTGTATCAAATACTGTAGATGTGTCTATATTTATGTATGTATTTAAACTTATGATTCCATTTGCTCTCTGTGGAGCAAAACTTAGCATAATTAAGTGTCAGGAGTTCTAGCTGAAGTAACAGCTCTAATACAACTGTAGCAACTAACTTCTCCTCACAATTGTGTTTCTTTTTTTTTTTTTTTTACAGCTAATATTGCATGTTTTAGTGACTGGTTACAAATGCAGAAGATAAATTCTGCTGGTTTAAACAGACCTATTTATGTAGGATACCTGTGGTTGAGCAAAATAAAACTGGAGCAGAATTCAGTTCAATGAGCTCCTTACTGATGGTAGAATTGAATCAGGTGCTTTCTCTTCCCTCTTCAGCTCCATTCTGCTCCTGTGCTATGCCTGTTTCAGCTAATCAACCTACACTGTTAATGTGTCATTTCTTGAGATGACTGACACAGGACATGGGACCAGCAGGATAAAAGACTGTCCAAAGACAGTTTCAAAACTTAACCTTCAGCCTCACTTAAAGTGCATGTAGCTTTAGTCAGAGCTTTCCAATTATGGCTGCTGCAAAGAAATTGTGTGCAATCTTGTTTTAGATGCCCTTTACATGATAAGAACAATCTATAAACTGCAACTCAAATGCCTACATCATATTCAGACATCTCAAGGAAGCTAGTAGACAGAAAACATCCAAGAATGCACCTGAGATTTATCTCCTTTTATTTTCTGGCCAGGTTGAATTAGGAGCCTAGCAGTAATTCCTAGCAATCTATCACTGATGGCTTTGGTCTTGCACCTGAGAAGAGAAAGTAGTAAGACTACTACTAAGGCAAAGGATAAAAAGTTTGGGGAAAACCAGCTGTGTTCATCTCTGACACTACAGATGTCTCGATAACCCTTCAGCCTGGGGCTTTGTGCCTGCTGAAGACAAAATGACTGGGTTCTGTGTGGCCAGAATGACTTCAAAAAAGTAGTGAAAGTGGGAAGTTGATACCCACCCATCTGAGCTCTGGCTTCTACTGCTATCGTTGTGTAACAAAGATTGGCCACTTCTTCTAGGGTTAAAATCCCCTATTATTTTAGTTTAAAAGCATTACTAAGAACAAGGATACCCCTATGTTTCTGCAGTTCTTTCATCGAAGGACATGTGTAAAATCTGTTCAGAGGATGTAATAGTACAGGGATGAAATGTGAGATTGCATTTTTCACTTTTTTTTTTTTACAGGAGAAAAAAAAAAGAAAAAAAAAAAGAGCCTCCTCTGAGCTTATAATTAAAAACACATGGTACAGTGGTCAGAAGCAGATGTTTTAGTTTCCAATAAATTTTTTTATTACAAAATTATCTTTCAAGTTTTCAAAGCTATTACCTGTCCCTGGTCTCTCCCCTCAAAACGCATTCAGTGTGACATTGGTGTAATATTTTTATCCAATACTTTATAAAATGTAAGAAGCCATGTAGATGTGAACTCACGATACCCAGCTTAGCAAGTTATTATATCAAGTATATATTTCAATTGGAAAGGCAAAACAATTTTAATTGGAAAAGCATTCAGCATCCTTTAGTGAACACAGCTGCAGGACTGGTAGTATTGACCACTAGATGCCACCGTTGCTCCTATAAAAGTGCTCTAGTCTGTGTTTTGGTTTGTCCATAAAACCCACAAAATTTCAAGATTTCCCTACAGTGTATCAGAATTCTGGTATAGCATTGAACTAAGAAAATACACAGCCGTAACACTTCTGCTCTAAATATCCTTATATGCAATTCTGTTATAAATTATTTTGATAATACACAACACTTTAAAGTCCATTTTCTTCTTGGAAGTATGTAAAGGGCTTTATAGTCACCTCTCACAGGTCCTCCATATCTTTTTGTGACAAAAACAAGCACTATCAGACCTGAGCAGCAGACACAGCCAACGGTGACTGGAGACATTTCAGTGTGTGCATAAGCAATTGGAAGTAGCTTAGGGGCATACATCGTACCTCTGCAACCCTACAGCAGTTAAGTCATCTGAAAATTTAGGAGACTTAGGTCTAAAGGAGTCTTTACTACTGGAGGTTGTAACGTGCATGTTTCACTGGGACCCATAAACCCCCAACTGTTTGCAAGGAGTGAGGCAGGGAGAGTTGGAGATTGATAGTATTTTAAAGTGGAAGACTCATGAAAAGTTGAAACAGTCATAATGCTGATGCGGTAAAGGCTTTCTGAAGGCCAGCCCTCCCGCTTAGCTTGTTGCCTGTTACTAGCTTGGTGAAAGACCCAGGATCTGCCACATTGTTGCTCTGGCATTTATCTACCAGGACACAGTCAGACTGAATACGTATGTGTGCCTGGTACCTAGTGCCTTGCTGCTTGGCATTACAAATGCTGAAGCCTGAATGCACATAGAGAGGAAATTAATGATGGGCTGCTTTGGAAAGGGTGCTCAGCCCTGAGGAAGCTAGAGGGTATGTTTCCTGAACCTGATGCTTGTGCATCTTAAAACTACCAAGTGCACACTGCATGTGGCAGAGGCATAAGGAAAAAACAAAAGTTACTTCAATAAGTGACTTCTTCATAGCTAAAGACTATGCAGAATATGTTTTATTTCTGTGTTAGGTAGGCAAAGTAATTTCTGTCTTTTTGGAAAAAGGCTTGAAATTCTTCTCTCAGTATTCACTTACTTTTGTTAGCATCATAAAATACCAGCTTCTATACTCCTCCTCTCACCTTGACATATGTGTCTGACAATTGGTAGAGATACAAGAAGTGCTAGACAATCCCACAGACTTAGCTACAAAAACAGTTGGCTTTGCTGACAACTAAACATACACTACTGGATCTTCAGCAACTTGGATGTATTTCAGTGAAATGACAAATGGGTGTCAGGAACAATTTGGGGCTTTTGCGGGAGATGAACATCTTGCATAATTAAATTAGGGATGCAAATAAATATGGAGGATATGAGGGAGATCTTAAATTTTGGAAATAAAGCTGCTACTATAGGCAGAAGACTGGAAGTTTAATTCCTGCTGTCAGTCATCCTGGGCTGTGGACGGCGTAGTCACCCTGCCATCAGGAAGATGAGGAGGCAATCCTCCAGCGTCTTGGAGCTTGTAATGATGATGATTATGACAACGACGACAATAATAATAACAACGATAATGATAGTAATTATGATAATAATGAGGCTGATTAACAGTAACAATAACAGTATCATCCTCAGGCTGTGAGAATCCATGCCACAGGAAAAGACATGGTCAGGAAGAGCTACAGTTGTCTGGAAAGTTGTCAACTGTTCAGGCTGGAGAGCAGAGGGTAGAGCAGGGGCCGAGCAGGCGGCTGCCCTCCTGAAACTACATCCCCGACCTGTCTTTATCTGACCACCCTTCGGCTGAGAAACCAAGGCAGGACTGTTCTACCCAGCGTTCTGTGGCCGCCCTCTGGCGATGTGAAGCTGCGGCCGCAGACGCGTTCCCCGCTTCGCGAAGCTCCCAAAGGGATCAGGGCGCACGGGTGCGCGCCCGGATCTGAGCGGCGCGGCTGGGCATACGTTCGCCTCACAGACCAGCGGGCGCCCGGCCCCGGTCGATGGAGGGGGAGCCGGAGGCCGCCGGGGCCGGGCTGTGTGGCGAGGCTGTGGCGTGGGGGAATCTCGATCAGCACCTAAAAAAATCGTTTCCTTCCGGAGCGACGGCAGCGGCCGCCGCTTCCCCGGCGCAGATCGGTTGCCGGCGGCTGTGCCCTCCGGGGTGAGGCGCTCGGCAGCCACGGAGGAAGCCAGCGGAGCAGCGAGAGCGAAGCGGTGGCCGCCGCTGCCGTGTAGAGGAGGCTGAGCGGTGGGAGGGGCGAGGAGGGACCAGCCGCCGCGGTGACAAGGTATCAGCGGAGCGGAGGGGTCGCCGCTAGAGTCGGGCGTCCTCGCCGCCGCCCTGCCGTCCGCAGAAGTTTGACTCGGGCGCCGCGCAGCCCCCGGGCCGCCGAGGCGGGGCAGGGAGCAGCGCCGGGAGCCGCCGCGGGACGGGGGTCGCCTCCAGCGGGAGGCAGCGGCTCTCCGGGAACCGCCCCGTCCGCGCCATGGCAGCGCGGTCGCGGAGACCCTGGCTGAGCGTGGTGCTGGGGCTGGTGCTGGGCTTCACCGCCGCCTCCTGGCTCATCGCCCCCAAAGTGGCCGAGCTGACCGAGAAGAAGAGGCGCGGTTCCAGCCTCTGCTCTTACTACGGCCGCTCGGCGGGTCCAGGGACGGGCGGGGGGCCGGCGGGCGGGCAGCAGGCGCCACCGGAGGCAGCGGCTGTGCAGGGCGGCACGAGTTTCAGGAGCCCCTGGGAGCTGCCGCCGGCGGCGCACGGAGCGGTCTCCACCCCCGCCGCTGGCGGGGAAGGAGAGCTGGAGGAGGAGGAGGAAGGCGGTGAGAAGCGGGGTAGCCGGCCCGGCGGCAGCCACAACGGGAGCGGGGACTGGGGGGGCTCCCCTGGCTGTGCCAAGCCCCGCAACTTCCTCTACGTGGGGGTCATGACGGCCCAGAAGTACCTGGGCAGCCGAGCAGTGGCCGCGCAGCGGACGTGGGCGCGCTCCGTGCCGGGGCGCGTGGAGTTCTTCTCCAGCCAGGGCTCCGCCGCGCCCCCGGAGCTGCCGCAGCTGCCCGTAGTCGCCCTGCCTGGAGTGGACGACTCCTACCCGCCGCAGAAGAAGTCCTTCATGATGATCAAGTACATGCACGATCACTATCTGGACAAGTACGAGTGGTTCATGCGGGCGGACGACGACGTCTACATTAAAGGTGACCGGGGCGCGCCCCGCCGGTGGGCGGGAGGGAACCGGAGGCTTGGGTGCCTGGCAGGGTCTGACGGAAGGGTGTGGACAGTCGTTCCCGCCCGGTGTCGAAGGGCCGCACGCAAGGGATACTTCGTCTCACCGCTGCCCCGGCGGCTTTTGCCTCCAGCTCCCATGCGCGGGGCTTGTAGTGCCGTCCAGGCGCTGTGGGCCCAGTGGGAACCCCGAGGTGACCGCGCGGGGCCAAGCGCGTTGTAGAACAGAGGCAGCTGGCTGGACCGCGGCGAGCACACTGAGCGGTCCCGGTCTGGGAGCTGACTTTTGCGGCTGCGGCCGCCGCGTTCGCTACCGGCGCGGCCCCTCCAGGTGCGGCGCTCCCGGGGCCGGAGGACAGGGACCGGCACTCCCCGGCGGTGCCGGGCACGGGTAGGGAGCGGCGGGTGATGGCGGCCCTGCTCGCCTCCGCTGTCGGCAATCCCGCCTCGCACCGCCGTCCGGGCGCGTCCCGCGCCGGCAGGGCAGCCCCCTCCACGGTTCGGTTCGGTGCTGCTTGGAAATGATGTTTTCAGCACTATTTAGAGTTCGCTGCGGGATCTCTAGCACTGAGCAAACTGTGAACGCTACTTGTAAAGCTGCTGTTCTCCTTTGAATTTTGTGGCTCTGGAAAAGCACTGGCCCTATTTCCGCGCGAGTTTTAATAGCACCATTAGGATGCACCATTAGGATGCACCATGTTTTGCAAACAGCCTGCTTTTGATCTATGCTTGCTGCTGCTGTTGCTAGTGCAATGTGCTGCTCTAGGAAGGAATGAAGCTAAAGTTGTAAGCACAAGCCTAGGCTGTGAGCGGGCTTGCGTTGTTGAAAGCACTGTTGAAAGTTAACCTGAGGCAGCTGTATACTTCCGTACTTGTCACTTAATTGTGTTTCAGTTGTTTAATGGGCTGTTCGCTTGTCAGCTGCCATTCATCTGTGAAAGACTTGCACATGCACATGTGTATATATGTGTGAATACTCGGTTGCAGACATAAAAGTTGTCAGTGGTTTCTTTCGTCTCATTTCGGATTTGTAATGGTCTGTCTTTAATTGGTTCCAAGGTTCCAAGTTAAACCTATCTGGAAACTTTCAAGTAAATCTGAAATCACAATTTCTTAAATAGGTAAGGGGTTTTCAGGAAAGGTATGTAGACATTGTAGCGCTGGAAATACATTGGAAAGAGCTTGTTCTGACAATTACTCTGTAATCAAACACATTTATCTCAGTTAATTTAGATTTGGTCTGGTCTTTTAAAAAAATAATCCTATTAAAATAATAACTGTCACTTTCCCTTCCCTCCGCTTCCTCCCAGCCTGGAACTATATTGGCAAATTGTCCTACTTTAGAGGATGAGAGAGAGTTCTAAAATAGCAAGGGAGTGCTTTCCATCAGTAGCGGTTGAACAGAACACTGTTTACTGACAAAATTAAGGGCAGATCATATTCTGGCCTTTGACTGGTTGAAAACGTCACTGTAATATTAATTAATTAAAAAAAAAAAATCTGTTAAGGGTAAACTTGTCCAGGATATTTTTTGTTAGGTGCAGGTTACTGCTCTGAAAGCCATTTCCTGTAACAGTCCCAGGTGCCTGCTACATTTCTAAAAAAGCTTGAGGCTGAGGAAAAGAGTCTGCAAACTAAGCAGAGAAATATTAGTCATTTTGTCTCTTTTTCAGGTGAGAAATTGGAGGAGTTTCTTCGCTCACTGAACAGCAGTAAACCTCTGTATTTGGGACAGACTGGGCTGGGTAACATCGAAGAACTTGGAAAACTCGGGTTGGAGCCTGGAGAGAATTTCTGCATGGGAGGGCCGGGAATGATCTTCAGCCGTGAGGTTCTCAGGAGGATGGTGCCTCATATAGGTGAATGCCTTCGAGAAATGTACACCACTCATGAAGACGTGGAGGTGGGCAGGTGTGTCAGAAGGTTTGGAGGAACTCAGTGTGTTTGGTCCTATGAGGTAAGTCATTGTAAGTTGCAATGTGCTGTTTAGTTATCTTGCAGCATAAGTAGGTAATGTACAATCTCTTTCCACAATAATTGTGTTTTAATGCCTTAAACTGCAGACTGTAAGGAAAAAAGAGAGGAAAGCATTCACAACATGTTGCTGTAAGCACATTTATTTCTACTTGTCTTTCTTGTCGTTGGTGACAATTGCTGCGGCCATAAGTAAGTGTAATCATGTAAATGTTGTCATGTCATGCTGAAAGTTTCTAAAGCACTACCTTGAAGGTTTCTACATACAATCCTTGACAGGATGCTGCTTCATTTCACTTATGCTGTTCAGGTTGGATCTGTTTAAAAACTTGGTTTTGGATAAGCATGCAGCATATCTGTTTATCACAGGTTGTTAAACTGTTTTATGGTATTTGAAGAAGAATTGTATTTTTTTAATTACCCAGACATATTTTAATGGCATTCATTACTGGCAAAAGCAGAAGTAGGGGTTGTGGGTTTTTTAATCCTTTACAAAAATTAAATTTGTTGCACTGTATGAGTCTGTAATACGTTTTAACACTGTTCTGCACTAAGAAAAACACTGTTAGAGGTATATCATAGACACAAGCAGCATACCAGCTCTCCCTATGCTGAATTTTAGGAACGAATAACTTCATTCGGTAATAGAATTTTCTAAAGTAGTAAGGGTATGTTGCAGAAAACCCAGAAAAGTTTTTTCAATTCCAGAACTAAAATTCAGGCCTTTTTCTCTGAAAGTGTTGTGGCTACTGGCATATAGCTAAAAACAGACCAATCATGCAACTGCCAGAAAGGGTAATGGGTGATAGCTAATATGATGCATATGATTTCAGTTATTTTAACCTGTTCTTTAATATTAATATGTGCTTGCCCTTGTGGCACCCCCTTGTTAAGAAGGAAAAGCCATTTCAATGGGCCACTGAAAGAGGTTATGTGCTATTAATGACGAAAATACAGGAAAAATGATTAATTTGGTGGATTAGTGTTTCTGTGAATGGCCTGGGTAAAGGTGGTCATTTTAAAAATGGGTTTGGTAGGTGACAGTGCATGTAAACAGGGGAAAGAAAGTAAATATTTAATAGCTGGTACTAACTGGGTGGAAAGCTTAAAGGAGGGAATCTTATCCCATACTTGACAATACAAAGGTGCTTTCAGAAACTGTTTCAATAAATGTTGTAAATCTCAGTATAAAGTAATATACCTGTTGCATTGGTAGAGCAGGGAAGGCATTTGTTGTGCAGATGGCTATCAGTGTAGGACTAGTGGTTCTTAATCAGACTTCCAAACCACATGCTACATTGGCAGCTTAATCTTGTCCTCTGATGTGTTTGGACTATGTCTGTACAAGGCATTTTTCAAATCCTTATGGGCATATGATGACTGCTGATCTGTATCAGATAGCAGAATTATGATTATTCCTTGACAGTTGTATCTTGGAGGAGGTTTTTGGTTTGTTTTTCTTATTTGTCTTCTTGGGAAAACATCTGCAGAAGAAAAGAAAACTGATAATAGGTAACATTATCACCATGGTTATAATTGATGTTAAATGTCAGTAAAATTTTGGCTTCAGACACTGAACGTGAGATAGAGTGAAAAAATATGTTTACTTCAATTTCAGAGACTTGAGTTATATGACTGCCCAGAAGCTCAGCTTTTTGTGGTAGGATTAGGGCCTGAAACCATGAACTTTTTGAAAAAAGCGTGTTTTTAAGGGATCTGTAATAGAAAGACACCAGTCTTGACTGTCAGTTGCTCTTGAAGGCCCTAGTTCTATATAATAAAGAATAAAAAAAAGAAAAACGTGTTGATCGTTGCAATGGCAGCTCCTGCGTTTCCGACTAGCATTTGCCTCTGTCAGAAGAATCTTCAACTCTGTTGCTGTTACAGGAGATGATCCACAAGATGCAGATGATTAAGAAACATCTGCTTAGGATGTTATCCCGGCATTAAAGCTGTGTGAGAGGGAAGGAGCAAAATAGGGTGTCCCAAGAGAAGGAGAAGGTGCATTCATGCTATGGCACAGTTTGTGCTGTTCAGCTGATAGTTGCAAGCAGTCTGATACTGCACGTGAACAGAATAGGCTGTTGCAGACTCGTAAATTACTGGGTGACAAAGGTGACTTTCCCTAGGGCACTGGAACTGTTGCAGTTCCATTCCTGCCGTAGATCAGCAACACTCTGTGTGTGCCAAGAGGTGAGTTGTTCCCTCAGAGATGTGTGCAAAACCTGGGGCTGGGACTTTCTGCATAGCCAGTTCTACTTTTGTCCTGAAGTCGTCTTGTGTGTATTAAATCAAGTCCTGTTGAGCTGCAAGATTTTTATGAACTTTGTTGCTTTTGGGAAAATGCATAAATTGTGTTTAACCTGTGTTGCTGAAGACTAATAAAAACTGTAAACAGCTCCATTAAAATTCATAGAAGTGGAAAAGCCCTAGAGGAGTTGAATTACAGTTGCATTGTTTTTTACTTGATTTCTAAGAACTGCATTGGAAGGTCTCTTTTTGGGAAGAATGAGAAATCAGAGCTCAAGAGAAAACCAGAAATGCTTGATCATTGCTGGGTGGCTTAACTGGTGTAGGTAAGACTGGCTGCCTTTCCAGGTTTATTCTGCAGCCTTAAGGTAGCTTAATGCATAATATGCTTGCTGGCAAGGAGAGGGTTACAACTTTGACTTTTTTTTTTTGTGAGAATGAATAAAAACAGAAGAGGGGTACAAGCCTGCCATGAGCTGCTCTTGTATTTTGGGACTTCTAGAGTTAATTCTTGTTCTGTCAGATTTGAAGCCAGGGCTAAAGGCTGGTTCTCTCACATACCAGATGGTTTACGGCTGAGGTGATGAGTCTTCTGGCTCTGCTGATGGAGCTCCTCTACTTTAGATAAAGAATTAGTCATTGAATTGCAAACAGAATGAATCTAATAACAGGGAGTTTAGTGCATTTATGTGGAATGGAGGAGACAAAAACCTGCCCTCAGTCTGGAATTTAACAGTTCCTCTAAGCTGACACAAACGTGGGCTTTTACTGGGGTGGCTGCTCCTTTCAGTTGCTGTCCTTTTCTGCAGGACACGTGCAGCCCTGCGGTGAGCTGGAGCAGGTGTGGGATCCACTTGAAACCTCACCCGGAACAAAAGTCTTTGTTTCAATTGAATCAGTACTCATAGCAGAGCATGAACATCAGGAGAAAGAAGAGGTGGTCGTGTTCAGCGAGGAATGAAGGGGTAGGACAGTGTCAAACTGCCCTTCTTGGCAACATCTTACTTCCATACTGGCTGGAAGCAACAGCAGCCTGTATCTAGTACATTTCCTTGCTACATGAATGCCATCCAGAGGAGCTTTGACAGGCTTGAGAGGCGTGCCAGTGTGAACCTCACAAAATTTAACAAGGCCAAGTGCAAGGTCTTGCACCTGGTTTGGGGCAATCCCAAGCACAAATACATGATGGACAGAGTCTGGATTGAGAACAGCCCTGCGGAGAAGGACTTCAGGGTATTGTCTGACAAGAAGCTGAACATGAGCTGGCTTCAGTGTACTCTCGCAGCCCAGAAAGCCAATCATACCCTGGGCTGCATCCAAAGCAGCATGACCAGCAGATTGAGGGAGGTGATTGAGCCCCTCTTACTCTGCTATAGTGAGACGCCACCTGCAGTGCTGTGTTCAGGTCTAGGGCATCAACACAAGAGGGATGTGGACCTGGTCAAGTGAGTCCTGAGGAGGCCACAAAGGAGATCAGAGGGCTGGAGCACCTCTCCTATAAAGGCAGGCTGAAAGACTTGGGCTTTTTTGGCCTGGAGAAGAGAAGGCTTCAGAGAAACCTTAGAGCAGCTCCAGTGCCTAAAGGAGCCCTGCAAGAAATGCGGAGAGGGGCTTCTTTCAAGTGCATGTAGTGACAGGACAAGGAGGAATGGCTTTAAGCTGAAAGAGGGTAGATTTAGATTAGATATTAGGAAGAAGTTCTTTACTGTGAGGGTGTTGAAGCACTGGCACAGGTTGCCCAGGGAATTAGTGGCTTCCCCATCCCTGGCAGTATTCAAGGACAAGTTGAACGGGGCTTTGAGCAACCAGGTGTAATGGAAGTTCTCCCTGCCTATGGCAGGGGGGCTGGAAGTAGATGATCTTTAAGGTCACTTCCAATCCAAACCTTTTAATGATTCTAGTATTCTGTTTTGAAATATTTGCTAGAAGCGTAGTTTTGTTTGATCATTTTCTGTCTACAGAAGATCTGTCCTTGCTCTGGTTTATTTTTCAACTATATGTTAATTTATCCTTCAGTTCTGATGATTCTGTAATAATTAAGTGTAATAAACCTGCCAAATTTGTCTAAAATATCTCTGTAAAAAGCTTTTTTGGTTTCGTTAGGTGTTAACAACTTCTGCTTCCCCAGATTCGTAAAAGTGGAGATTAAAAAGGGCCTTTTGCTTTTGCACTCTCAGAATCCATATTTCAAGCTAGCACTGTCTCTTCCACTAATTTTGAAGCCTTGATTTGTTTTTTTCTTTAAATGAATGAAGAGATTAGCTTGATTTTATTGGCTCATGTGTGTTTTATTCTTTGGAAAGAAAAACAGTAAATAAGAAAATGAAATGCTGTGTGGTTCCTCACTTAGCTGTTTAGGAGGGACTTGACTAGAGAGGACAGTTTGGAAAAAAAGGCTGATTGCTTTATTCCCTGCCCCAATCCTTCCCTTTATTTTTTTATTGTGCTTCTGGTTTCTGAAGACCATTTTGTAATTTGTAACATAAGTTTATAAGAAATCAAATAGTGTATTTCCACAGGAGGACAAAATAAAATGCAGTGCATGAATTAAGTGGCGATAACAATTCAAGCAGAAACCAAACATTGTCAGGGTATAAACACTGACTATCAAAGAAGGTTTTTCTTCAGAAAATGAAAACCAGCTGTATTGAGGGATTTAAAGAGCAGTCATCAGTGTATTTGGGACATTTATTCTAATGGTAAGTTTGTAAAGCATTTCTTTTTGTAGCCTTTTTTGCCTCTCTGCAGGAAAAAATGTCATAAAAA